AAGTAACATTCACAACACGCATCATCTCAAGCCTCATTGTTGTGCACATCTTGTTGTATGTGGATGCAGACTGCTTCAGTATCCGAGGATTAGTGAATGATATTAATCATGTTGCAAACGTTAGCTAACATACACTCATTTAACATTTTGGAGGGAAAATGATTGGGCCTAGGATAACATCCTGATTAATTCCTATAGCAATGTCCTGTGTCTGAGATGATTGATCTCCAGTATTTACAACCATCTTCCTTTTTGCTAGGCTCTATTCCAGCTAGAGTTTTCCCTAGATTCTCATCAAGTCAAATTTTATTATGACTCCTTGATGCCATATTTCATCAAATGCTGCATCGAGTGTCTCGCTGGACATGATACATTAAAAACACAGGTTTCATAACAAATCTTGCAAAAATTTACATACTCACCAGTCTTCAGCTGAGCTGCTCTTGTTCACGAACTTTGACCAGGAAGCAGTGAAACACAGTTGAAGATTTTGAGGTTACTGAAGTTGGAATGCTGGTTGTTTCAAATTGCCAAGGTGATGGGGTGGAGCTCAGACAGGTCACAGCACAACAGAGAAATTTCAACCACGTTCATTATCAGAGCTGAGTTTCAAGTGGCCACAGGTAGAACCCATGATCTGAAGAGAGACACTGAATGACAAGTAAAACAAGCACACGACCAGATTTCTAGGCCTCAAGTTTGCACGGTTTAGTCACTTTGGAGCAAAAAAAAAAAACACCCTCATGGTTTTATCTGCCTTTTTGAAAATGTGCTTTCACTTTAACAATTGACTAGCATACTGACTCAAACATAACCAGAAAAAAAGTCCTGAAATCTCCAAAAAAAAAAGGTCAATGCATCGGTCATATTGGTATGGCTTCTCAATAAAGGACATGATAAAAAAATATGATTGGAAAAGCTCAATTCACCTGTAGGTGAAGTATTTATGTTGCACTTCATCTGGTAATTCATGACTATTTTTATGACTTGCAAATCTATTTGCTATCACTGTGACCTAATTCAGACTCAAAGTAGATTTTAGTAACTCTGATGATAAAGACTTCTAATAGTAAAAGTTGATGCAAAAACATTTAAAATAAGTGACAAGAAGTAGGATTTTTGTATACAGGATGCATGTGCAGCAACATATACATCCCAAAAACAAATGAACAAATTACATCTTTTACAACTGTTTTCTGATGCTGACCTACAAATTAAATGATTTATGCTAATTTTACAACATGCAATGCATATGACCTTCTCACAAAGCCAGTACTATAAAACACTCAGCTATCAGAGTCAACAGTTTTTTGCTCTTCACTTGTGGGACGTGGCTGGCCAGCATTTCTTGTCCATCCCTAGCTGCCCGTGAGAAGGTGGTGGTGAGCTGCCTTCTTGAACTGCTGCAGTCCTCCTGCTGTGGGTTGACCCACAATGATAGTAGGGAGGGAATTCCAGGATTTTGACCCAGCGACAGTGACGGAACGGCGATATATTTCCGTCAGGATGGTGAGTGATTTGAAGGGGAACTTGGAGGTGGTGGTGTTCCCATACGTCGATGCCCTTGTCCCTCCGGATTAAGTGGTCGTGAGTTTGGAAGGTGCTGTCTGAGGATCTTTGGTGAATTTCTGCAGTGCATCTTGTAGATGGTATAACTGCCGCTACTGAGCGTCAGTGGTGGAGGAAGTGAATGCCTGTGGATGGAGTGACAATCAAGCAGGCTGCTTTGTCCTGGATGGTGTCAAGCTTCTTGAGTGTTGGGGCTGCCCTCATCCAGGCAAGTGGGGAGTATTCCATTGCACTCCTGACTTGTGCCTTAGAGATGGTAGATGTGCTTTGAGGAGTCAGGAGATAAGTTATTCACTGCAGTATTCCTAACTTCTGGCCTGCTCTTGTAGCCACTGTATTAATGTGGTGAGTCCAGTTGAGTTTCTGGTCAATGATAACACCCAGGATATTGATAGTGGGGGGATTCGGTGATGGTAACACCATTGAATGTCAAAGGATGGTGGTTAGATTATCGCTTATTGGTGATGGGCATAGCCTGGCATTTGTGGCGCGAATGTCACTCGCCAGTTGTCAGCCCAAGCCTGGATACTTCCAGATCTTGTTGCATGTGAACATGTTCTGCTTCAGCATCTGAGGAGCCACGATGCTAAACATTGTGCAATCATTGGCAAACATCCCTACTTCTGACCTTATGATGGAGGGAAGGTCATTGATGAAGCAGCTGAAGATGGTTGGGCCTAGGACACTACCCTGAGGAACTCCTGCAGAGATGTCCTGAAGCTGAGATGATTGACCGCCAATAACTACAACCACCTTCCAATGTGTCAAGTATGACTTTAAGCACCAGGGAATTAGCCCTCTAATACCCATTGATTCAAGTTTTGCTAGGGCTCCTTGATGCCACACTCAGTCGAATGCAGCCTTGATATCAAGGGCTGTCACTCTCACCTCACCTCTGGAATTCAGCTCTTTTGTCTGTGTTTGAACCAAGGCTGTAATGAGATCAGGAGCTGAGTGGCCCTGGCAGAACCCAAACTGGGCGTCACTGAGCAGGTTACTTCTGAGCAGGTGCTGCTTGATAGCACTGTTGATGACACCCTCCATCACTTTATTGATCGAGAGGAGACTGATGGGGTGGTAACTGGCCAGGTTGGATTTGTCCTGCTTTTTGTGGACAGGACATACTTGAGCAATTTTCCACATTGTCAGGTAGATACCAGTGTTGTAACTGTACTGGAACAGCATGGCTAGGGGAGCGGCAAGTTCTGGAGCAAGTCTTCAGGACTACTGCTGGAATGTTGTCAGAGCTGGTAGCCTTTGCAGTATCAGTGTCTCCCACCATTTAATATCACGTGAAGTGAATCGAATTGGCATCTGTAATGTTGGGGACCACTGGAGGAGGCCATGATGGATCATCCACTCCGCACTTCTGGCTGAAGATTATTGTGAATGCTCCAGCCTTATCTTTTGCACGGATGTGCTGGGCTCTTCCATCATTGAGGATGGGGATATTTGTGGAGCCTCTTCCTCCAGTGAGTTGTTTAATTGTCCATCACCATTCATGACTAGATATGGCAGGACTACAGAGCTTAGATCTGATCCGTTGGTTGTGGGATCATTTAGATCTCTCACTTGCAGCTTTCGCTGTTTGGCGTGCAAGTAGTCCTGTTTGGTGGTTTAACCAGGTTGATACCTCATCTGCCGGTATGCCTGGTGCTGCTCCGGGCATGCCCTCCTGCACTCTCCATTGAACCAGCGTTGAACCGCTGGCTTGATGGTAATGGTTGAGTGGAAGATATGCCAGGCCATGAGGTTACAGATTGTGCTGGAGTACAATTCTGCTGCTGTTGATGGCCCACAGAGCCTTATGGACGCCCAGTCTTAGGTTGCTAGATCTGTGCAAATTCTGTCCCATTTAGCACTGTGATAGTACCACACAATACAATGGAAGTTGTTCTCAATGTGAAGGTGGGACTTCATCTCCACAGGGACTGTGCAGTGGTCACTCTTACTGATGCTGTCATGGACAGATGCAACTGGCAGATTAGCAAGGATGAGGTCAAGTATATTTTTCTCTCTTGTTGGTTCGGTCACCACCTGCCTCAAACCCAGTATAGCAGTTATGTCCTTTAGGACCTGACCAGCTTGATCAGTGGTACCGCTGCTGAGCCACTCTGGGTGGTGGACATTGAAATCCCCACCCAGAGTACATTTTATGCCCTTGCCATCCTCAGTGCTTCCTCGAAGTGTTGTTCAGCATTGAGGAGTACTGATTCATCAGATGAGGGAGGATGGTACGTGGTAATCAGCAGGAGATTTCCTTGCCCGTGTTTAACCTGAAGCCATGAGACTTCATGGAGTCCGGAATCAACGATGAGGACTCCTAGAGAAAACACCCTGCCGACTGTATACCACTGTGATGCCACCTCTGCTGGGTCTGTCCTGCTGGTGGGACAGGACATATCGAGGAATGGTGGTGGTGGTGTCTGGGACATAGTCAACTCACAGAATCATACCTTACAGACAATGTCAGGCTGTTGCTTAACTCGACTGTGAGACAGCTCTCCCAATTTTGGCACTGACCCCCAGATGTTAATGAGGAGGACTTTGCAGGGTTGACAGGCCTGTTTCTGCAGTTGTCTTTTCTGGTGCATAGGTCGATGCCAGGTGATCCATCCAGTTTCATTTCTTGGAAACTTTCTAGCGACTGGTACAACTGAGTGGCTTGCTAGGTAATTTCAAAGGGCAACTGAGAGAGTCAACCACATTGCTGTGGGTCTGGAGTCACATGTAGGCAAGACCACGTGAGGGTGGCAGATTTCCTCCACTGAAGGACATTAGTGAACCAGACAGGTTTTTCTGACAATTGCCAATGATTTTATGGTGATCAGTAGACTCTTAATACCAGACTTTTTTTTTTTTTTTTAATTCAAATCCCACCATCTGCCATTTGAACCCAGGTCCCCAGAACATCAGCTGGGTTTCTGGATTAATAGTTTAGTGATAATACCACTAGGCCATCGCCTACCCTGGCAAAATCAAACAACTGTAGAAATAATAGAATGGTTAGAGTCCACAGAAGCAGGCTATTTAGCCCCTTTGTGGCTATCCTAGCTCTCTGGAGGAACGATTCACCTAGCGACCGCCTCTGTCTTCACCCCACAACAACCATGAAATTTCCTTTTCTGACAATAATTCAATGGTCTCTTGATGTCTCGATTGTCTCTGCCTCCTCAAAGCTTCAATTGTCAGTCATCTTGCAATTTGAATTAAGAAAGGTACTTGCTGTGTCAAAGCTATTGAAAATTTCCTAAATGTGGATACTAGGGACAAACATTAAACAAAATGGTGTCTTGCCTCATTTTAGTATATTAGGAATGATGTAGATTTTCAAGTGTCAACATGACGTGCAATAAGGATTATGAAGTATCAATGCCGGCTCAAAACAGTTTCAGTTGTTAGAACAGACTTGTGTTTTCAGACACATTCCCTTTGTCTAAATTCATTTTAATTTGAAATTATAACAAATTTAGTAACCATAAAACACAGGTAATTGCTTGACGGTACAGAACTTAAACATTGCTTAAAGGAAACAAGAAATTGAAGCTTTTTGTCAGAAATTCACCACGTTCATTGGAACTAGGACACAAACAGACTTGGAAAAAAATACACCATTTTAATACAAATGAGAAAAGGGTTAGGCCATCACAGCATGGAGATGCAGTGAGAACATCAATGGGAGATATACTTTTCTGAGGCTTACACAGGCTAGTTACACTGGAGACCAATGCAGGCAAAAGGAATTTGTACATACATTGCTCCTCTTTCATAAAAGGGGTCATGGGAGACAGCCAATCTCTGTTTCATCTCCAAACACCCAGACCAATCAGAATCTACAGTGCCTAGTCTAAGAATTAAGATTTACGGTTAACCGTTCTTGCTGCATCTCCGTGCCAATTGTGGCACAATCGATCAACATTCTCTTCTCATGCTGTATATAATTGTGTCACTTTTCTCCCCAAGTCTGTTTGTTGCATCCTACTCCTGATAAGTAGGAGACAAAAAGCTTTAACTTCCTGTCTCCTTTTAGCAATGTACAAGCAAAGATGTTCATTCTGTTAAGAGGTCAACTGTACATAAATTACTACACTTATTTTCCTATTTGGCACATTGATGGCTGATGCTATAACAATTCTTCACCCATTTTCAACAAACGCACTTCAAAACCAGCACAACCAAACTGTGAATATCTTTAATTATAAATAATAAAACTTTATCTCATTCTAACCTTCAATCACAATACGTTTGCACTGCAGTTAACTTAAACAGCTACAGTTTTATGTGAACCATTGATCACGTTACAACAGAAACTGTGGGGAAATATAAATTTAAAAAAACTCTAGCTGTTTAATCAGAGAAAAAGCTATATCCTAAAACATTATACACAGCATATTGCTGATACACAAGTAGTTTCACAAAAAAGTGTTGGTCAGTAGTTAGTATATGAAAATACATCCAGCTCAGTGTGGGAAGCTTAAACAAGAAATCACGATATACATAGGCAGTTATACATCAATTGCAATTCCATGGGACATGGACATTGTTTCTCTAGTACCTGTCACATACATAAGAACAGAGCAAAGGTGAGGGAATGAAGCTGTAATTGCTATGTAGGTCCAATATGGCACAGGGGCTGTATTTCCAAAGGGACAGAACCAAAGTCCATGTCGGACACCATCGCGGACGTGATGAGAAACCCAAGAAATGGTCACCATCCATGGCAGAAAACACCAAGAATCTTTAAGTCTAAATAACCACATAGCTAGTTTCATTGAAAAAGCCACTACGGCTATCACTGTAGAACAGTGCAGTGCAGGCCTTTGTGGCAGATGCAACGCAGCCTAGAAGAGAGAAATGCAGTTATTCACAGTATTCCATTTCCAAATACGAGCATGAAAATGTTATGTTTTTAAAAATAAGTGAATTGTTTTTAAGCAGCTCACTAGGTTTCATCAATGGAAACTTTAGAAAAATTACAAGATCTCATTCTTCATAAATCCTCGTCATGTTGAAAAACTGTTTAGATAAAACTCAAAAACACTGATTTCAATTTTGACACATCTTCAAAATCAGGCACAATACATATAATGCACAACTCAAATTAGGTGTAACAAATCATTTTTTTGTTTGTTCTTCGAAAGTCGGCCTGTTGGCAAGGGTGTTAAATATTGTTAATCCTTAATTGACAACTTGATACAACTAAGAAAACTATGAGGCTTGCTAGACCACTTCAGAAATCAGTTAAGATTAAAGTATGTTGGTGTAAGACTGGAGTCACACCGAGGCCACAGTGGGTGAAGATGTCAAGTTTTCTTTCCCAGAACTGACCGGTTGTTGTATGATCAACCAACAGTGTTATGATCATTGGAAGAGAGGGTGAGCAGAACAAATAACAAAATTTGTACAATTAGCTATCCACCATTCCATACCTCTTAAAAACAAGTGCTCTTGAGATGTGAGACAACAAGGTGCAGGGCTGGATGAACACAGCAGGCCAAGCAGCATCATAGGAGCAGACAGGCTGACGTTTCGGGCCTAGACCCTTCATCAGAAAAAAAAGCTCTGATGTGGATGTCCCTGAACCAGCCAACATTTATTGTTCATCCCTAATTACCCAAAGGGTAGTTTAAGAGTCAATCACATTCCCGGATCTAAAGTCACATGTAGATCATCCTTCCTTATAATAGAACAGGTAAATTTTCAAAACAATCAACAGTGGTTAGGGTCATCATTATGCTAGCCTTCATTTCAGACTTTATTGGAATTTAAATTTCACAATCTGCCATGATGGCATTCATACCCATGCCACCAAAACATTAGCCTGCGGTTCTGGATTCCAGTGACAATGCCACGGTGCCACTGCCTCCCCTTATAATCTTTTGATTTACAAGCAGTTGGATACATGATTGGATTTCCACCCCTCTCCTCTCCACAAAATTTCCATTGTGACTTTCTCATTTCAAATAGACAAAGTACAACATAGCCAGACAGTGGTACAGATCCAAAAGCTCTCCAAAATCTCAATATCAAACAAGACAAAGCAGCATGCGTGATTAGCACCCTAGCTGCCTCCTTAAAGACTCTCACCTTTCACAATTGAAAGTAGTGGTTGTGTATACCATTAGGAAGACACACTGCAGTAACTCACCAAAGCTTCTTAGACAACATCCACCAAAATCCCCAACTTCTACCACCTAGAAGGGAGATGCATGGCAGCACCACCACCTGCAAGTTACCCTCAAAGCCACACTCTACCCTTTTTGGAACTATGTTGCTGTTCCTTCACGATTATTAGATAAAAATCCCAAAGCTCCTTTTCGAAGAGTATGATGGGCGTACCTTCATCACATACACTGCAATGGTTCATCACCACATTCTCAAATTAGATACGGGCAACAAATCCTGGCCTTGACAGGGTATTCACATCCCAAGAACAAATAAAAACTACCCTGAAGGTCTGGTCGAAAACGTTCAGCTACTCATTTGCGTAATTTTCTGGGGGACTGAAAAAGCCACTTAAGAAACAGAGCTTGTTTTTAACGTAAGTATTTCTTGATTAACATTCTTTCACTAACAAATATATGGAAAAATCTCAAAGGCCTAAAAATCTATGAATTTTGTTTTCAGTTTATAAATTAGAGGAATGTTCATAGATGATATTATGGCACTGTGTTACTTTTGCTGATTAAAATGATGACACTCATCTTACATAAAAATCTTAGAACACCTTTCCCCAATTAAAAATTTCTGCAATTGTGCAATAATCTATACTTTCCAATGCAGAAGTAACAAGAGTCAAATGTGTATATTCTTACCTTGAGAGACATGGATCCAGCTGCAACAAAGTGATCAACATCAATGACAGAAGACAGAAATCCAGCAAGAAGCACTTCATAAAAATCACTCTTCTTTCTCAATCCAACCACAATGGCCCAAGACCACAGTCCAATAACACCATGTACTGCATTGTCTGAAAGAGCCCTAAGCCAGTAATTGTTCTGTATTAAAGAAAATTGTAAACACTGATCTGATATGAAGCAGAAAATTCCTAGGCCTATGCTCGAGATGACCGATGCTGTACTGAATGTTTTAAGTAGAGCTCGTGCATTTTCTGTCTCCGTTGCCATTGTAATTGTGGACTGTTTTGACGTGAACATTGTACAATGCAAATATCATCCATGGTATGTTACATCAGCATTCCTCATTCTGGAGCAAGAAAAAGATATATTTGTTACTACAGCGTATTTTGCTACTGTTAGTTTCAAAGTTACAACAGCAGGGAAAGCAGCTTCATGGTATCGGTACAGCGATGTCTGAAAGTGTTGGAAATGTGCACAAACCTGACAGGATCATTTCTGCAAATGCATAGCGACAATTCAAGAGAAAGGAAATTACTTGTGCAAATATTTAGTCAGTCAATCAATTCAGGATTCATACATGGAAATGTTTGCCTCCTGATTTGCACAGATCACTCCACAGTGGTCAAAAACGCCCTTGACTGCGTCTCTCGCGTTTTCCACAACTAATCCCTCACACTCCCTCCCCACAATAACAACCAAAACAGAATCCCCCTCGTCCTCACCTACCACCCCACCAACCTCTGGATCCAACGCATCATCCTCCGGCACTTCCACCAGCTGCAATCTGACCCCACTACCAAAGACATTTTTCTCTCCCCACCCTTACCTGCCTTCCGGAGGGACCACTCTCTCCAGGACTCCCTTGTCCGCTCCACACTCCCCACCAGCCCCGGGCACTGTTCCCTGCAACCGCAGGAAGGGCTACACCTGCCCCTACACCTCCCCCCTCACCCCCATCCCAGGCCCCAAGGAAACCTTCCCACATCAAGCAGGTGTTCACCTGCACATCTGCTAATGTGGTATACTGTATCTGCTGTGGCTTCCTCTACATCGGGGAAACCAAGCGGAGGCTGGGAGACCACTTTGTGGAACACGTACACTTGGTTCGCGACAAACGAGTGCACCTCCCAATCGCGAACCATTTCAACTTCAAACCCCTCCTCCCTGCCCAACTCCCACTCCTTGGACGACATGTCCATCCTGGGCCTCCTCCAGTGCCACAACAATGCCACCTGAAGGTTGCAGGAATAGCACCTCATATTTCGCTTGGGAACCCTGCAGCCCAACTGTATCAATGTGGCCTTCACAAGCTTCAAGTTCTCCCCACCCCCGAACGCATCCCAAAACCAGCCCCGCTCGTCCCCGCCTCCCTAACCTGTCCGTCCTCTCTCCCACCTATCCAGTCCTCCCACCTCAACCCCCACCCCCTACCTACCAGCCTCATCACCGCCTCCTTGACGTGTCCGTCTTCGCTGGACTGACCAATCCCCACTTACACTTACTTTTACTGGCTCCATCCCTACCTCCTTGACCTGTCCATCTCCTCTCCACCTATCTGCTCCTTTATCCATCTTCCATCCATCTCCTCCTCTCTCTCTATATTTATTTCAGAATCCCCTTCTCCTCCCCCATTTCTGAAGAAGGGTTCAGACCCGAAACATCAGCCTTCCTGCTCCTCTGATGCTGCTGTGTTCATCCAGCTCTACACCTTGTTATCCAAGACCTGACAACATCAAGGTTTGGGCTGACAAGTGGCAAGTTACATTTACACCACACAAATGCCAGGCAATGACCACTTCCAACAAGACAGAATCTAATTATCGTCCCTTAGCATTTAAAGGCATTAACATCACGGAATTCCCCACTATCAACATCCTCGGGGTTACTGATGACTAGAAACTGAATTGGACTAGTCATATAAATACTGTGGCTATAATGGCAGGTCAGAGACCAGGAATCCTGTTGCGAATAATACACTGCCCAAGTCCCCGAAGCCTGTTCCCTATCTACAAGGTACCAGGCAGATATGGAATGGAACAATCCACATTTGGTTGGATAAGTGCAGCTCCAACACTCAAGATGCTTGATAACATCTAGGATAAAGCAACCCATCTCATAGAATCGTGGAAGCAGGCCATTTGGCCCACAGAGTCCACATCGACCCTCTGAACAGCATCCATCCAGACCACCCTCCTAACCTATCCCTGGAACCCTGCACCTCCCATGGTCAATCCACCTAACCTGCCAATCTTTGGACTGTGGGAGGAAACCGAAGCACCTGGAGGAAACCCATGCAGACATGGGGAGTGTGAGAAACTCAACAGAGATAGCCGCCCGAGGGTGGAATTGAAATTAGGTCTTTTATTCATTCACGGGATGAGGGCGTCGCTGGCTAGGCAGCACTTATTGCCCATCCCGAATTGCCCAGAGAGCAGTTAAGAGTCAACCACGTTGCTGTGGGTCTGGAGTCACAGGTAGGCCAGACCAGGTAAGGATGGCAGTTTCCTTCCCTAAAGGACATTAGTGAACCAGGTGGATTTTTATGACAATCAGTTCAGCATCATCATTAGATTCTTAATTCCAGATATTTATTGAATTCAAATTCCACCAGCCGCCATGGCAAGATTTGAACCCCAGTCTCCAGAACGTTATCTGGGTCTCTGAATTAACAGTCCAACAATAATACTATTAGGCTGTTGCCTCCCCCTCCCTGGCACTGAGAGGCAATAATTGATTGGTGTTACATAGAAACATGGAAAATAGGTGCAGGAGTAGGCCATTTGGCTCTTTGAGCCTACTCCACCATTCAGAATGATCATGTAATCTTAATATCTCATTCTTGCTTTCTCCCCATATCCCTGGACTCCTTTAGCCATAAGGACCACATCCAGCTCCCTCTTGAATATAGCTAATGAATTGGCACCAACAGCCTTCTGTGAGAGAGCACTGCACAGGTTCACAACTCAGTGAACAAATTCTTCCTCATTTTCATCCTGAATCGCTCACCCCTTATTCTTGGGCTGTGACCCGTGGTTCTGGACTCCCCCAACATCAGTAACATTCTTCCCACACATAGGATTCTGATGGGAGTGGACTGTCCACTCCCATCAGGATCCTATATGTTTCTATGCGATCCCCTCATTCTTCTAAATTCCTGAGAGTACGAACCCAGTCAATCCAGTTTTTTCTCATACGTCAGTCCTGCCATCCTGGGAAACAGTCTGGTGAACTTTTGCTGGACTCCGTCAATAGTAAGAGTGTCCTTCCTCGGACCAAGGCCCTGTATAACTGCAGCAAGACATCGTTACTCGTGTAACTCAAATCCTCTTATTACATTCACAAACATCCACTCCCTTCATCACCAATGCTCTGTAGCGGCAGTGTGTGCCATCTACAAGATACACTGCAGAAATTCACCAATGCTCCACGGACAGCACTTTCCAAGCCCACGACCGCTACCAGCAGATACACGGGTACACCACTTATTGGCAAGTTCACCTTCCAAGCCACTCACCACCTACACAAGGAGAAATGTCGCCATTCCTTCAGCGTTGCTGTGTCAAAATCCTAAAACTGCATTCCCGAACAGCTTTGTGGATCTACGTACACCGCATCGACTGCAGCAGCTCAAGGGGGGCAGTTCATCACCACCACCACCTCCAGGGGAAAACTAAGGATAGACAACACCCAGCGACGCCCATCTCCCATGAATAAATAAAGAAAAATTAAATTAAAAATTATAAACCGTCTTGCGCAGAAAACGAACTCGCCTCTAATTTCATCATTGGTCCATTGGAAGTATACATTTTAAAAAATTTGCTGGGGGCCTCTGTTTTCCCCAGATTGAACCGTATGTTAAATATCTGAACAGTGACAAGGAGGAACCAGATCCACACCGACTCCCCCAGCTGCTCGGAATCGGGGCACCGTTCAATCAGGAGCGATGAGCCTCTGTGTCTTATCACCGTAACAGAGTGTTGACACCTCAGCAGCACTCACATCTCTTCATCCATCAGAGAACCGGAACAGTAGATGACGGTTAAGCCATCACTGATGGCGGGTTTTGCAGGGTCTTTCCCAGGCCCCAGCTAACCGTAGGGCTCCACTCGCTTTCCTAACCGGCCCCGTGTAACCCGCCGCTCCGCTCCCCGCTCTAACCGGCCCCGTGCATCCCGCCGTTCCGCTCCGCTCCCCGCTCTAACCGGCCCCGTGCAACCCGCCGCTCCGCTCCCCGCTCTAACCGGCCCCGTGCATCCCGCCGCTCCCCGCTCACCCCGGCTCCGTGCAGCCCGCCGCTCCGCCCCCCGCTCTAACCGGCTCCAACCGCCACTATCCGCCCCGCCCATCCCCACGCTGATTGGAGAACGCTCCAGCCACCTGACCGGCTGCCATTGCCGTCTATCACACTGAATGTGCCCCGCCCCGTCCAGTCCCACCGTTGATTGGCTAGAATACATCCCACCCCCTCCTTGATCGACGTGCTATTGGACCAATCAGCGGATGTTGGACCGCCCCCTCCCAGCGACGGCTGCAACGTGACCGTCAATCATCCATAAAACCCATCCAATGTGTGTCAGGGCATTCGCATCGTTACATTTTGATAATCAGCTGTCTTCATCAGGGCTGGCCTGCTAGCAGCGCGTTTGCACTCCGCCTGTAAATATGAATCCTAGTCCATTGTCAGTTCCAGGGTGCAGGGCACTTATGTCGCTCTCACTCAACATGAACATGTATAATCATCACCTCCAGCAGTGCGTACTAACGTTAAATGCTGCGTCTTCTCAAATGCGAGCAAACAGCACCTACTCAGCAACAGTTTGCTCCTGTTTGGGACAAAAGAACCAAATTCCAGAGGTGTTGAAAGTTACAGTCCGTGACCTAGAAGAGCAGGAGCAAAACTGAAATCAGTTGTTTGGAGTCGTAACCTAACACACAGGAAGACCGCCTCAGAGTCATTGAGTTAAACAGCACAGAAACAGAGCCTTCGCTGCAGATCGTCCATGACGACGAGATGTCCTAAGTTAGAGTCAATACAGTGTGGAGCCTGAGGAACACAGCAAGTCAGGCAGCATCAGAAGAACAGCAAAGTCGACATTTCTGATCAGGACTGGGGAGGGGAAAAGGAGCTCAGAAATAGAAGCAGAGGGTGTGGGGCTGGGCGAAGGTAGGTGGATGGAGGTAGGGGGTTGTAGAGATAGGTGAGAAAGATGATGGACAGGTTGTGTCAGGTCAAGGGGGCAGGGATGAGAGGGAGGGCTGAACATGGGATAAGACCATGGGTGGGGAGTTTTTAAAGCTAGTGAATTCTGTGTTGAGGCCATTGGGCTGTAAGCTCCCGAGGCGGAATGTAAGGTGTTATTCCTCCAATTTTTGTGTGGCCGCATTGTGATATTGGAGGAGGCCCACGATGGACATATTGCCGAGGGAGTGGGAAGAGGGCTTGAAATGGCTGGTAACCAGAAGGTGGTGTCGACTGGAGCGTAGAGAGCACAGATGCTCTGCGAATCGGTCACGGAGTCTGTGCTTGGTTTCTTTAATGTAGAGGAGACCACATCAGGAGCAACGGATTCAGTAGACCAGGTTGGAGGACATACAGGTGAAGCTCTGGTGGATATGGAATGATTACTGGGGCCTTAGACAGAGGTCAGAGGGGAGGTGCAGTTGCAGGGAAAGGTGCCGGGTGTGATGGGGTTGGTGGGGAGTGTGGAGTGGACGAGGGAGTTGCGGAGAGAGCAGTCCCTATGGAAAGCAGTCGGGGTGGGGAGGGGAATATCTCTTTGGGGTGGGGTCTGATTGCAGGTGGTGGAGGATAAGGTGTTGGATTCAGAGGTTGGTGAGGTAGTATGATGAGGACCAGGGACTCTATTTTTGTTGTGGGGGGAGGGTCTTTGAAAGCAGAAGTGCAGGAGATGTGGTTGAGGGCATTATGAATCACAGGAGTGGGGAAGTTACGGTCCTTGAAGTAGAAGAATATCTAGGATGTCCGGGAGTGGAACACTTCATGCTGGGAGCAGACGCGGTGGAGGTGGACGTATTGGGAGTATGGGATTGCATTTTTGCAAGAGGGTGGGTGAGAGGATGTGTAGTCAAGGTATTTAAGGGAGTCAGTGGGTTTGAAATAGATGTCAGTGCTGAGTGACGGAGATGGAGGCAGAGAGGTCCAGGAAGGGGAGGGAGGTGTCGGAGATGGTCCAGGTGAATTTGAGGTCAGGGTGAAAGGTGTTGGTGAAATAGATGAACTGTTCAAGCTCCTCATGGGAGCATAAGGCAGCACCAATGCAGTCATTGATGGAGGAAGTGGTGAGGGATGGTGTCAGTGTAACTGCCAAGTTATTTTAGCCCCCTCCGCCAACATTTGGCCCATTTTCCTCTAAACCTTTCCTATTCATGTAACCATTCAGACGCCTTTTAAATGTTGTAATTGTACCATCCTCCACCACTTCCTCTGGCAGCTCATTCCATATACGCACCACCCTCTGCGTGAAAAAGTTGCCCCTTAGGTCTCTTTTATATCTTTCCCATCTCACCTTAAACCTATGCCTTCTAGTTTTGGACTCCCTTACCCTGGGGAAAAGACCTTGACTATTCACCCTATCCATACCCCTCATGATTTTATAAATTTCTTTAAGGTCACCCCTCAGCATCTGACACTCCAGGGAAAATAGCCCCAATCTATTCAGCCTTTCCCTCTAGCCCAAACAATCCAACCCTGACAACATCCTTGTATATCTTTTCTGCAGCCTTTCAAGTTTAAAATATCTTTTCTATAGCATGGAGACCAGAACTAAGTACAATATTCCAAAAGTGGCCTAACCAATGTCCTGCACAGCTGCAACATGTCATCCCAATTCCTTTACTCAATGCATTGACTAATAAAAACATGGGTATCAAATGCCTTCTTCACTACCCTGTCTACCTGTGACTCCACCTTCAAGGAACTATGATCCTGTACCCCAACGTCTCTTTGTTCAACAAAACTCCCCAGAACCTTACCAATAAGTGTATAAGTCCTGCCCTGATTTGCTTTATCAATGAAACACCTCACATTTATCTGCACTGCTCGCCCCATCGGCCAATCAGATCAGGGTCCCTCGTAACCTCATTCACTGTCCACTACACCACCAATGTTGGTGTTATGTGCAAATGTACTAATCATTCCTCCTATATTCACATCCAAACCATTTATATAAATGACAAAAAGCAATGAACCCAGCAACAATCCCTGCGGCACACCACTCATCACAGACCTCCAAGCTGGGAAAAAAAACCCTCCACCAACACCCTCTGTCTCCTAGCTTCAAGCCAATTTTGTTAGCAAATGGCTGGACTCTCGCTGGATTTCATGTGAACTATTCTTGCTGACCATTTGACCTCACAGAACCTTATCAAATGCCTTGCTGAAGTTCACATAGACAACGTTGTCCCCTCTGCCTTCAATCTTCCTTGTCACTTCTTCGAAAATCTCAATCAAGTTAGTAAGATATGATTTCCCATGCACGATGCCATGCTGACTATCCCTAATCGGTCCTTGCCTTTCTAAATACATGTAAATCGTGACCTCGAGTGGACCCAGTGCGGAGGAGAGTGAGCCCCTACTTACTTGTCTGGACCTAGAATTGGTGGCTACTACATTGGCAGAGGCGAGGTAGGCCCAGTGGCAAAAGATGGTGGCCAAGAATCAGCGACTTTATCGTTTGTTGGGTCTGGCGCTGGCAGCGGTGAAGTGATGGCAGAAGAGCATCGTGGCAACATGATGAGGGGACCCAGCAGTGAGAGCCACGACTCTGGCGTTGGTTTATCCTGCACAGGCGGCAGTGACGGAGGAGCATTAGCCCAACAGCAAAGATGATGCCTGAGGATTGGCAACGTTGATGTTGGTTGGGTCCAGTATGGACGGCAGTGAAGCAGTGGTGGAAGGATGGCAGTGCAGGCATCGTTGACGGTGATGAGCTGGCTCGGGACTGATAGACTCTCTTCAGGCTATATCTTTTTATTTTCCTTTATTTTCCCCTTATTCTTAAACTATTCAAAATGGTGCCATTTTATGGCAACAAATGAAAGCTTTTTTCTGTATTTTACAGTAAGAATACGATAAAATACATATGACAATAAAATCAAATCAATCTAAATTCTGTCCCTCAGAATCCCCTCCAACAACTTACCCACCACTGACGCCAGGCTTGCCGGTCAATAGTTCCCTGGCTTTTCCTTACCGTCTTTCTTCAATAATGGCACCACATTAGCCACCCTCCAGTCTTCTGGCACCTCACCCGTGGCTATTGATTATACAAATATCTCAGCAAGGTGCCCAGGAATCATTTCCCTAGCTTCCCACAAAGGTCTGGGATACACCTGATCAGGTTCCGGGTATTTATTTACATTTATGCGTTTTAAGACATACAACACCACCTCCTCTGCATTGTATACACTTTTCAAGATATTTCTCCAGGTTCTCTAGCTTCTATATCCTTCGCTGCAGTAAATACTGATGCAAAATACTCGTTTAGTATCTCACCCATTTCATGTGGTTCCACAAATAGATGGCCTTATTGATCTGTCAGGGGCCAATTCTCTCCCTAGCTACTGTTTTTTTTACCCCTAATGTATTTGTGGAATCTCTTTGAATTCTCCTTAACCCTATTTGCCAAAGCTATCTCCTATCCGCTTTTTGGTTTCCTGGTTTCCCTCTTGAATATACTTCTACTGCCTTTATACTTCAAGGGATTCACTCGATTCCAGCTGTCTACACCTGC